TCCGCAGCTATTTATTCTACGCACGACTTCAAATCATCAAAATCTTGTTTGACCCACAGGTGGAGCCAGGCCAAGCTTTTGGGAGGTACTTTAGGCCCTTCTCCTCACCTATGAGCGTTAAAGAAAACTGATTGTTATAATGAACTTTTAAGGCGCAACATCTCATCTGGATATGTCTATATACAAATATATAAATCATTAACGACGCAAGAATGTGAGCTGAATTTGGGAGCTTACAGAAAATCAGGTGATTAGAGTACAGCATGCTTTGGTACTCCCAAGGATGGCCAGTCGAATACCCCTTGCTGTTGGGGTGCGGGCCAATAATACCCCTTATGTATATATATATATATATATATATATATATATATATATATATATATATATATACGCTAACAGACCATTCTCGTCGCGGGGTCTGTGTCGGGCGGCGGATAAGTGGGTGGTTTGTGGATTTTGGTCTTAGTGCTGGTCATAAGAAAAGCTTTGGTGCACTGTTTGACACATGCAACATAGCGATCGTCAGCTCTTATGGCAGATTATTAATATCAAAGCACGATATGATGTGCTGTTACTGTGTTGCTATGCTGTTGATAATGATTTTGTCAATGCTGTATCGTCGGCTCATTCCTGCCTGCAGTGCTGTTGTCCTGGCATTGATATCATGTGATGTACACAGCAGTGACTTTCCTTATTGTTTGAAACTAGAAATGCGGTGTCATGCAAAAATGGATAATTTTGTGTTGCTTAGGATCATGTATGCAGTTAATACTCAACTCTGATATAACCATTGGATACTGACATTCTTCCCGTTGATAGTCCCTTGGCATTGTTAAATAAGTTGTTACCAGTCATTCATAAATTATAAGCTGCTGTCTCATAGGCTCGACTTGAGTAGTCAACCAATGTGGTACAGTGTGTAATGGCATGGTCAACAGTGTCATTGTGACACTACCTCAGTGCCGTACTGTGGCATGCCATAATGAACAACAATATGGTTTTTGTGCTGCAATCTCTGCTGCTTCCATAATAAATTGCGTCATGAAGAGATGAGTCAAGTATGCACTCTTGCGTTGACTTCCCATTTGACATGTGACGGACCAAAAACACATAATACAATATATAAATCACTTTCAGCAAAGCAGACGATAAGTGACATTACTTGCTCAGCCTGTTTAAGGAATCCACAAAACATAGGTGACAACGATGCAAACACATCTTCCACTTCCACAGTCATGCAACATGCTGCAGCCATAATGTTGCTTTACTAAAAAATAGCAGGAACATTCTACATGTGTTGAAATGACACTGCAGACATGCTGACCTTGCACAAGGCATGGAGCCATGACAAGTTCGTGTAGTTATTGTTGGATGGGCGAAATGCAAGGAAGTGGTGAAGCTGCCAGTGCACACAAGGCTTATGATACAAATATTATTAAACGCTATCCAAGACACCAACAGCAATATTTTTCCACTTTTCTCAGCTCCCAGCATCTCACGCAAGTTGCAGTGACTATGACATTGATGGCTTACAAGCAATGCTCGCCTGCGTACAAAACTTGTTGAGACTGTAGAATGTGCATTAGAAATAACACAATTCTATATTTTCAGAATTCTTTACGAAAAGACCATTTTGTAAAGCCATATTATGAGAGCCTATACTGAGCATGTCCATTAATGAGCTGCACACACCAGCCCCTTCTGCCAAAATGAATTGCTGATACAATGACACGCAATGGATTTAATACATGCTGTAATACCTCAATAGGTTCAAAATGTTGGCAAGATCATAATGAAGTACCAAATTGTCTTGGTGCACCCCTGTAACAAAGGTGCTAATGTTTCTCTTAGTTTGCCCGCACTATCTTGTCATGTTCAGACATAAACATAAAGGTAGAGGCAGGTATCAATAAATCATTTTTTATTGGGAGTCAGTAGACTTTAAAAATACCAAAACATTGTTCTCTCTCAGAAGTACAAACCTCGCACGTTCACTCCCCATCACATCAACATCAATACGAGCCACTGGCACACACCACCAGTGATCACACCCATTCCAAGCTCCTGATTCGCACCCTTTTGTGATATAAGTGTGATTTAACTTTTGCACAGCTCGCGGGGCTATCAAAGTGCAGGTTTTCTCGCAATCTCCGTACAGATTTTCGGTTATAACACTGCATTTCACTGTGACTTTTCTTCGAAACGAAGTCCCAAAAGGGTTCATGGTAATGCGGCTCAAGAGGCTGTACTTGTAGAACACAGCTTTTTGTTCAAGATTTAAATTTGTCGGGCGATATGCGTGCAATATTCAGTAGAATATATTCTAAAATTACTTAATATTTCCCTAATTTTATGATGCCTTGCTAACCCATAAACCCGTGCAAGCTTCTGTGCTTCGATATTTGAGAAATACATCAGTAGAGGAAGAAAAAACGCCTCACGCTTACGTTCGCGGCACGCATTCAGCAGCAAAATTTTGCGAACAGCCAATCATCTTCCGCGCATTGTACCATACGTGCCGCATCGTCGCTTTTGCGACTGTATCAGCGGCCATGCTGTTTTGACCTTAAGCAGGAGGCAACCTGTGGTCTGAAAGCGATCGCATAACGTTTCTATGACGTCAGTAATGCCAAGCCGACTTTGAAATGAGCTCCCAATAAACCTTTTCGCACTTTTGCGGACGTGTGACTCAGGAACCAAAGAGTTTTGGGTTTTCAAAAGGACATGACCATGAACTGCATCAAAAGGTCCTCAAGATGACTATTTCAGCTCAAAGCCCCATGCAAATGTGGAACATTCCCTTTGACGTAATTCGTTTCTAAGCGACGTAACCGCAACGTAATCTAAGCAAAATGTGACATGTTTGCTTATTGTCAGTGACCTCGTTTAATCTTCCAAAGGTCAGGGTGAACAAAATTATGCAAGACTGCTTTACATTTGAATAAGCGGCAAAGATTTTGCTGGGCAGTTTGCTCCTAAAACCAAAAAATTGACCTGGGTCATTTTGGGTCATTTTGGGCCAAGACCTATTCTGAACTTTAAGAAGTCTATGGAAGATGTAAAGCGCGGTTCCTGTTATCAATAAATTCCAAGTAAGCACCAGAAACTACCTCTTACAGCAAGCCCTGGAGTAATAAAGCAGGCTGGTTTGACGCTGGTATAACACTTATATTTGATCCTAGGTCAATTGAACTTGTTCATTCAATTGTTGTGTTGTCTAAGAAAGTATCTCGGAGTTATATGGCTTCGTCTGACACTCAGTTGTTGCATCAGATTAAACAATACCCTAGAAATTGACTTCGCTGAATCCATGGCCTGACTTGGATCTGCTGTAGATCAGCAACCTTGAAACGTACATCTAAATTTCTGATACTCAACGATTTGGTATTCAACTTTCTACAGCTAGGCAACATTTGGCGCCGCTGCGCCCCACCATTTAAAAACCATTCTGGAAAAGCTTCTGGGGGATTAAAGTGACTCCCCCACCCGAGCGCGTCTTAAAACTACCTTAGCGACACATTTTGACACCTTAGTGGCTCTCAGTGGCACTTAAGTGGCACTAACTCAGTAACACTCTTTTTTATTTCAGGCATATCTTGCAAGAACACCCGAAAAGTAAACACGGTTTCTCCAACTGATGCCAATGCCCACCCTTAATTCTAGTGTCTTTGCTATCAGTTATCGCAAAGAAATTAAATTTGAAATTCTAACATGCATACACATGTTGAAAACAAAGTATTTGGTTTCCGCTCAAGGTCAGATTAGTTATGGATCCTTAAATTGAGCAATGTTTGATTTCGGCACCCCATTTTGGTACCCGATTCAGCTGGTACCGAAGGACTTCTGCGTAACAACCTTCATCACTTGTGACCACAAGTGATCAAGGTTGACACAAGACACATCACCACAATGACCGAGACTGGCCCTGAGGGTAGCTGTTGGGGGATGCATGTTCATGCTTATGTTCGTATTCCAACTTTTTTCACCTTGACCCATGGTCTGATGTGAAGTGGCAGCGTGTGGAGGTGGTAGCTAGACAGTTGCCCAGTGGGCGTTGACGTTGCCTAGTAGCCGTGACTTTGACTAGTCACTTGGCAGGCAGCATTCAACAGCCGATAGCCCATGCCACGCGGTTCATAACTGACCCGTCGTGCAGTAACTGAGGCGCTGCACGATCAATTACCGTGCAGAATGTTTAAAGCGAGTCACAATGTGTAAACCAAAACATAATGTGAATTGGCAAAAACATTATATTGACATTAAGGCGTCTGAAATTACTTTAAAACAGTGATCCTCCAACCACCCATCCCACTGTCTCACCACACTTCAAGCGTTTTGCGACTGATGAACGCGATTCCACTTAATCGCCACAAACAAACTAAAGATGCCGCTACCAAAGCGCCGTCAAGTTTAAGTATATCCTAAATCTGGTCTTAATCCCGAATCTGGTATGATTATGGTATGTGTCGATACTTACTAGTCAAAACTTCGAAACACCCAGTGTATCTTTTGCACTGTGCCCGACGAGGCAAACTTTACACAAGTGCACGGTGCATTGCCAGAGTATATGAAACAGCAGGGCCTCGGAAGGTTGGCAGCCATGTCAACCAAATCAAAGCATCGGGAAAACCGAAAATTGAATCAAGCTTCCCATTCAACAGCGCTGTTTGGGTGAGTGCAGCGAAGTGCACAGGTGTACATTCGGCTCTCCGACACGCTCTTGCCCATGTCCCATTTCCGAGACATGCGCAACGCCGCACAACGGCTGTGTGTGGGACGCCACTTGTGAACCTTCACGTGTGGACACAAGCGGCGCCAGCCCGCCTGACGCCTGTTACAGGCCCGGCCATTTTGCCGCCGGGGCCGGCTCAGTGCCGCAGGCAGCGCAGTGGCCGACGCGCCGGTCGGAGGTCGCCAGCCGACGGAAGGTCGCGGTGTTTCTGCTGAGTCAGCGAGGGGTGACGGGCTTTTGACAGGTGCGACCGGTCGCGACATGCTGGGCTAGTGCAGAGCACGCGCCGGCAACAGGCGGCCGGTCGCGGAGCGATGCGGGCATGACGCGACCCCCCGTGTCCGTGCAGTATTTTCAGCAAGGAGACTCGGTCACCATGACCTACGTCATACACTGCCCGTGAGTATGCTGGTGCACCCGATAAGGAGACTCGGTTACCATGATCTACGTCATACACGGCCCGTGAGTATGTTTGTGCACCCGACGAGGAGACTCGGTCACCATGACCTACGTCATACACTGCCCGTGAATATGCTGGCGCACCCCACAAGGAAACTCGGTCACCGTGACCTACGTCATACACTGCCCGTGAGTATGCTGGTGCACCCAACGAGGAGACTCGGTCACCATGACCTACGTCGTACACGGCCCGTGAGTATGCTGGTGCACCTGACAAGAAGATTCGGTCACCATGACCTACGTCATACACGGCCCGTGAGTATGTTCGTGCACCCAACAAGTACAGGTCGTAACGTGCTGTTCATCGCACTTCTGTTAGGGGCTTCTAAAATAGCCACATGCCTAGAACCGTGTCTGGATGGCAATACCGCTGGAGCATTCTACCAGCAAGGGGTAGCGATATCGGTTGAAATGGTTCCAGAGTAACCGCGTGTGTCCGAAAACCAAACGTTTTTCCGACATACCTTTCAGTCATGACATCCTAAACTCTGCCTGCTTCTATTTACTGTTGAGTCCAGGCTTTTTATAAGAACCACGCAAAATAGCGTTGGTCTTTGCATCATCTAATGATGCCACGCATAAGCGTGACGGCCGAAGTCTGACACCTGCTGAATAGGCAGTCATTCGTCATGCTCAGCTGCCCCCCCCCCCCCCCCCCCAACCTATTATGTGTAACTAAGCTACTGCACCCACCTTTCCGCACCGTTCACACAATACATGCCTGCTGAGCTGATAGTCCAGTTGTCGGATGATGTCCGAGCAATGCCACTTGCTAACTTGCCCGTGATAAACGCGACAGAGACGCGGAGAGAACTACGTACTTTTGTTGCGAAAAGGGATTGACCGCTGTTGGAATACTAAAACCCACAGAATCCTTACAAAAGGAAACATGCGATGGATAATGAATGAGGCGCAAAACATACGGAAGGATGTCTCGACTTGGAACATTGCTTGATAATAGCACGTGTCATCCGCAAACAAGAGCGGGCCCTCCGACCACAGAAAACAACATTCACCCAGCGAAGTGACAATTTATGGAAGATAAAGGGCAGGCTTGAAAACTGATATCTCGTGTGGAGTGGTGAAAACGAAGGAAAGAAAATGAAAACCGTTAGAGGCCAGATCTGGGACCGCCTAAGCTGTTTCCTGCTGAGAATGGTCGAAACAAATATGCGTGCGAAAATGTGAATATAAATGAACATCATCTGACATTGACACAGGCAAGAAGACTGAATTCAAGCTTAGGAAGTGAGCACAGCAAGATGCTTGCAACCAGAACAAAATGGCTTCAGCTGGTTTTGCTCCCGAGCACAGAAGATACAACTTGAATGACAGAGCAGCTTCAGTACTTGGCATGGCGCCGTTAGTGCATTCCAGCATCCTTACGAGTGTAGAGTGAACGCCATTGATATGGTCGACGCGAGGCATATTCGGAGAGCGAGAAGCGCTGGCAAATGCAGCGATGGGAGGAAGCAAGAGATAGGATTCGGTGAGCCGGATTTGACAGAAAGAAGGGTCCGATGCACTGCATCCTTGAGAATCCTGACGCATCAAAAGTCATAACTCGGGTTAAAAAGCGGCATCGCTGGAATGACATTGGTCATTTTTCATGACCATCAAGCAGTCCAGTCACAAAGTAAACCCAGATCTTAGACATGTTCTTTGCTTTAGACAGAATTAGTCGTAAGATAGCTGTAAGCAATGGCACCTTCGCGGGAAAGCGATCTCACCGCATCAGATCGTGATCGTGTTGAGCAATCAGCTCGCGGCAATGCGGCGAGGCACGACGTGCCATATCAGCATATACTCGTTTGAGGGCACGATGCGGTCGCAAACCGAAATGCGTCACCACGCCGGGGTCTGCCAATCGGGGGCTTGCCACACAGCGATGTGGCCGTTTTAAGCGGCCAGTGCCCGTTTTCAGGACAAAAGCCTAACATGCATATTTTGCTCATAGATCAGGTAAAAATCGCGTGTTGTGTGGGATCGCTCGTGATGATATGCGCATTTTTCGCCGCCCTCGCTGGACAGCGTTGACCATGCACCCGCTGGCAGCATTCCCGCCGCGGACCAGCAGTTAACCGCAGTTTTGTCTAGATTGCTCAGGGTCGGTGGACAGAGAACTGCTCTGGTGATCCGGAGCAAGGTCATGCCCTCGTCGTGGGTCACGGGGACAAACACACCCGCAGGATTGCTTAATCTAATCCTCTCCGATGCGTACATATTAGAAGATTAAGTCAACAGACACGGATGAATGTCTCCAGGAGCTGACAAGAGTTGGTCGCTGTTGGTGTCAGATTCTCGCTTGTACTTCATTCGTACAAGCTGGCCTTTCTGACAGCGACAGTCATGTCATCGGCAGCTTGAAAGCCGATCACGTGCTGATAATGCTTATCAGTGTTACTTCAGCCGCTGCTGGCATTCGTTAGATTGTTGAAGGCTGGGGTATGACGCTCACTCCGCACCTTGCCCGACCATCGCGAGGAGACCTTCGTGGATTTCACGTCAGTGCAATTTAGACTTGAATATACATGGGGTGTGTTCCTGAGAAATTTATCTTGATTGCGGGAAAGCAAAGTAGGAAGACTCATTAGATCACAAAATGAGCTCACCTTTCGTCGGCTGCACGATGAGCACGGCGAGACGCGCGAGCCAAGCGTCACGTGTATGGTGTCACCAGGACAGGTACTGATGCGAGTCCAGCGCATTCTGTGCATGGTCCAGTAGCATGGTCCACAATGTCAGCCACATTGCTGAACCGTTACCGGCCACGCCGCGCTTTGCTCGGTGCCCGCGCCGACGCACGGAGAGCGGGTCACGGACTAGGCCGCAGACGCGCTGCTTACTGTTCCGGTCACTCAGGTTATAGCACCGCTGGCACGGGCCGGGCCAGGGGGGTAGTCGCCGGGCACCTGGTCCAGCATGTCATTCAAGGAAAGGAATGCAGGAACGGAGGGACGGCATCCTTATAAACCAACATGACTATTACAAAAGGTTCTGCTCTCTCTCCCCGTGAAGACGGTGAGACGCGTTTTCCGCGCAGTTTTACCGGCGTACATTTGTGAAGACGTGAAATCATCACTTGACGAATAAGCATCGTGTTTCGTTATAACCAAAGTTTTTCGATGATAAAGCGGCGATATAAAGTTGTGCAGCGTAGGGACGAAGAGAGGAACACGTCAGTGAGCTTCTAGGAACACTTCAGTAAGTTACGTTTGTCGGTGGTGAATGTAGAGATAGATAGATAGACGATAGATAGATAGATAGATAGATAGATAGATAGAAAGATAGATAGATAGATAGATAGATAGATAGATAGATAGATAGATAGAGATAGATAGATAGATAGATAGATAGACGAGGGAACAGGTGAGTTATCATTCAAGACTTCCACTCAATACGCGACGTCCTTTTTAAGGAATTTAATTTGGCCCCCATTGCCAATGTGCATATTCGTGGTGGCCAGAAAGGAGAAAGCCAACCACATTGCTCGACGGTTGCACCAAGGCCCTAGAACAGAAGGTATAACCGCCTGGCCAAATTCCGCTGTTTCGACTGATGACGTCACAAATGCACTCGGCACGTAATGGTTAATGGCGGATGCATGCCTACCGCCGTTTGCTTGGCTTTTTGAAAAGGTTCTAAGGCTTGAAGCCGTTACATATTTTTGGTTAATAAGAACAAGACTATGTCTTCTCCGAACAGGCCATAATATGAGCTCCAAGGTCTATTAACACGCGTCCAGGTGCCCAGCTAGATACCATTCGCTCGGTTGGGGGCCGATTTGGCCCTCCCTGAGATCTCGGGAACTAAGAAAACTAGAGACACAAAATGTACAGGGTGTGTTGACCTGTACGTGAACTCAGTGAGATCAAAGTTTGAGGTTCCTAGGTCATGACCTTCAGGTCAAACAAGGTCGAATTCCAGGTTGGTCTCCAGTGCCCCAGAACCTAGGCAACTGTTTCTAAGCAAAAGGTCATGCGCCCATTTGAGGTCAGTGACCTTGTTTGACCTTATCAAGGTCATGGTGACTAAAATTATACAAGACTGCTCTGAGTTTGCATTTGAATAAGCGACAAACATTATGCTTGGCAGTATGTTCCTAAACAAAATGTCAAACCGGGTCATCTTAGGTCAATGACCTGTTCTGACCACGAAAACGTCAATGGAAGATGTATATTGCGGTTCCTGCTGTCGATGAATTCGAAGTGAGCACTAAAAACTATCCTACACAGCAAGCCCTAGGGTAATAAATCAGGCTGGTTTTGACTTTAGTCTGACCTTCATACCTGACCTTAAGTCAACGTAATTTGCTCATTCAATATTTGTGATGCCTAAGAAAGCATCTCAGAGATGTATGGCTACATGTTTGCGGGGGCTGGGTCAATTGGTGCATTTCATTTCTTCAAAAAGTATATGCTCTCTGGCTAAGTGTAGATGCTGTGTTACGAACATATTGATGCCGCGATGGGGTCAGGTCAAGGTCATTCCATAGGTTAGCATGACAATTTGGTGCATTCATGGGACACATGACTCAAAATATTTTCATATCCATTTTGCTCGCGTTATGCAGCTTAAACATCAGCCAAAATTTTTCTGGTCAGTACATGCTCAAAATGTAGGTAAGATGCCAAGATGAGGTCATACGGGGTCAACATGACACCCGGTAGGCTAGTCACGTCATACATGTTTCCGGATGGCCTAGCCCACAGGAACCCAATAAAATCACTTTTAATCTTGGATCGGGTCACGTTCGTTCCTAAAGAGATCATAAGCTGCTGTTTGCCAAAACCTTCTCTGACCTCTGCAAGGCATTCAATAGCCATGGGCAGGCTCGGGAGATTAATTGTCAACCTGCTGTGGAAATAGCTACCACTCAGCTCATGTGTTGTTTGAAATGCAAATTTCATAACTTGCAAAGCGGTAGAAGTTTCAATTTGCCGGCAATAAAGAAAAGCAAACTATTTTGTAACAACTAGACATTGCCAAGTGCACAGATCACCTTCATTTATGCATGAACAACACGCTCTAGCACAATTTCCTCAATACCAAGAGCACCCACACAATGTCCTTATTCTAAACATCAACAACAATGGGGAATAGGTAAAAGACCTGGTCACATCATCCCATTTCTATGCAGCATGCACAGTTCTTACTATTGGTAGCTTGCGGCTTAGATGCTTGTCCAATATCCATGCACAATATTCGTGCGCAGCAACAGTCTTCTGACGGTTATTCTCACTGTTAGGATCGCGGACGCCCCTCTTTCCATGCCTCCCTCTTAGGCACCTGTCTCTGACAATTTCACTGCAGGTCCCTGACAGATCTAAGCAAAAAAAAGTTGAGTGCTCTAGTTTTCATCAGCTTTCATGGGAAGAACTACCCTTTATGATACCTTTGATATAACTGGAGCTCATACAACAAGTTAATGAGCCTGGACTTCAAAACATGTGATGGAACAGCTGTAAAGGTTCCATGTCTGATCACTCCCATGGAAATGATTTCTCCTTCACCACATAAGCCCGCTTATGTGTACCTGCGCACCTACGGAAGGTGATGTGATTATTAAAAATTGATGTGACATGGGATTCGGTCCCCAACAGCCATTATATGTAATCAGATAGGATTGCAACTCAACAAATGTTCACAGCATTACGTTTGCAAGCTGTCATTAATGCCAGGCTATTGTTGCATGCCTCCAAATGCTTTCAACAAAAATCCAAAATAGAGGCTAGTTATCTTAGTAGTGTCAGGATTAATTGAAGAGATTATCAGCTTTACAATATAATAGCATGATATATCTTGTACCACCAGGTTCATACATGTCTTTGCAAATCCATAGAAACACAACACACACAGACATACACACACAAGCATAGCTCAAGACAGCGGGCAAGGCACTCACAACTCGCTGTAACTAGCGGCCCAATGCCACCTTACACTAGAATCATTAAGATAGAAAACCTGCGCCTTTAACATTGCCAACAGGTTTACATACGGCTACCGTACACACAAGCAGCATGGTGCACAACACACCCCTTTAGCTTTCGTGCGTAATACACAAAAGCTTTGAACACATCACAACCAAGTCCAACAACCACTGCCTCAATCCCCCTCAAAACATCAGTCACGTGAACTGAGCAAAAGTAAACAACACGCAGCGACGCGTGTCAAGGTTGGTGAAATTATTTTGTCTCTTCCGCGCCACGCATTTGGCACTTAGCAAAAGTGAACCTATGGCGATACACAGGGATGGCGGAGGGCTGGGCTGCACAATAAATTCATGTTAAAGCTTCCGAATATAACTGCCTGATATTACCTCTGACTGTGCATTATATCATGCTTCACTATGCGACACGTGACCTGCAATGTTGGGGGGCCTCTATGATTTAGATTACCGTGCCTCCATTAGCCGCGCAGCTCTTATGCACAGCATAAATGCAAAACCTCCTCCCCTCATTGCTGCTGGATCCACCTCTGATAGATCATATGTATATTATCCAAATGAGTGATGAAATGTTACGCAATAGAGCGACTTATAACTCACCTCTATCAAACATCGGCCGGGTAAAGTCAAAGAGCTGTGGGCTGTTAACAGCGCAGCCGTCCTAAGGAACCTATGACTCGCTCTGACATGCTTCCCTTATAGAACTCCTGGAGTCGCCTCTGGGTGACATCCGGGTCTCATGTTTAGGCAGGTGATGTAGTTTAAACGTTTGGGACAAGTCAAGCGTCATGGAGCTTAAATATTAGAGTGCTGCTGTAAAACAAATTCTTGGTATCGGGTGAGTCTTCAAGACAATCCCCCACACTTGAGAACAGAGCAAAACCTGGTGAAATAGCATGAACAGCATACTGTCATGATCTCTGTCTCTGTGTATCTTGTCATCAGTGCTGGGGAAACCACCAATTTCCGAAAATAGATATTCAACCCTGTTACGTCATGTTGAGCATAGCGTCACACTCAGCTGATCACCGACCGGCTAATTGGCCAGGATATTGGTAATCGTTGCGTCATTCCTGGTTACATGACGGTTCCTGATCAGGTGCCAGTGTATTCCATCGATTTCATGTATTCAAGTTCAGAATCTAAAGCGTTTGGGCTACGCCTTGCGCTTGGCGGATATTTTTGTTTCTGGGCCACAAACCTGCTCTATCAGCTCAAAAGGTCGTTCAAATAGGAAATATTGCCGTTTTAGGATAGTCGCAAACTTTTCCGCTCCATCCACCCAGGGGTGAAAAATGCTTCTGATTTACCGGACATGATCGGTGACAAAACTGACAATCTTGCGAACCACCTGGTGAAAAATTGCGAAAATGAAAACAAATTTCAACACACAAGACCACATTACAGCAGATTATCCCAGCTCGATGAAACTCAAGGCTCTGTAGCATAGGTCTTTGCCCGCCAACGCTTGCAGCGTGAACACATGTCGAAACGTTGACGTTCCGCTGTATGAGTAAGTTGAGCCATAAAATACTGCCAAACCGAAGCTTTCATCAGGATAGTTTTAGAAGGTGCCAAAAGCATACAAAAACTATACTATATCAGTGCTGACGCCGCAGATCAGTTACGACAGTGTTTTCCAACGACCCTCAGATAAATGCTTTTCACAGATTTTTTAACCAAAATGCACTTCACATACTAAACAATTTAAAATACCAAATACCTAGGCTTATTACCAGTCATAGCAATCGTGTCTCGCTGCAGCATCTTGCGGCGCACCTGATCAGTTTGCTACACAGCGTTTAAAAGCGTCGTGTTATTTGAGACAGATGGGCTGAGTGTTCGCCACGCGGTGATCCGTCGAGTTCAGTGCGAGGCTGTGGGCTGCTGTTGGCTGCGTTCAGGTCGTGAGAAGCTGACGGGCTAGGAGGACGTAGCTAATCGTCAGTTTCTATGGTAACAGTGTTAAAAAGCCCTGCCGATCTAGGATTGTTGTTTGTGTATACCTGAGCTGTGGCTTCAGAGGTAAACGGAGGATGTTGGAGCGACACGTGTCAAGGAGTCACCCGGGGCTTCCTCCTACTGAGAGAAACAGCGGCTTTGAGGCAAGAGGCCGAGCATTTCTTGTATAGGCCTCTTATATTGCCCGTTACACCTCAGACTCAACGCACTGATAGGTGGACGTGCGTTAAAAAATGTTTTTAATTGTCATATTGCATATAAAGCTAACTGAAGGTGTCAGAGGTGTCCAAAAATGTCGTTTGCATCCGTTGATACCAATTTTATGAGTTTTGCTCTAAATAATTGGGACCATGTTAGCAAGTGCGAGCTCTGCACCGGCAATGATTATGCCAATATAATGAAGGCCGCCAACGCTTTCAGCTGACTGTACGATGACGTCACGCAACACAAATGATATTGTTCGAGGTGCTTCTACAACCATGTTATTGGTAAATGTAGGACCACAGGAATACAGTTTTGCAAAATGCCTATGGGTGAGGGACGAAGGGGGAGGGGGAAGGTGCAGGAGGAAAAAATTGCTGAGCCTGCCTCCGAAATGCGTTACAACCGTTTTCTCCTCAGACTTGACGCGATTTTATACAGCTGGCAGCAGGGGTAAAGTTTCTCAAAGTGTCAGTTTGGGGCTGAGCCCCCAACTGATGATAAGTGAAAAATAATGGATAGAGGTGATAGGTAAAATAGGAAGCTGCATCCCTGGTTAGAAGGTACAATCCCGCCCCCCCCCCCCCCCGCCCAAACTGAATAGGAAGCTACGTGCCTTGAGGCTCGTTATATTAAGTATGCCTTCATCTGATAATTATGTTAGGTTAGTCTCGACCTTCATTGAGTGTTCGATGGTCAGCAAGTGGAACTTAACTGCAAATGAATCCCCGGCGCGAAAATGTTTGATGGCAATGCCGCATTGCATTTAGTTTGTCTGCTTGATGTGGTTTATCACATTTATTTATATATATATATATATATATATATATATATATAATGCAAGTTTTTTTAAAAAAATTGACCCCATGATTCAGGCGGCTTCAAATTTCGTGTCGGTGACAGAAAAGGCACTTTTCACTCCTCCACCCAACATCTCCGTCGTCTTATTCGTCATACACCGTCAAAATCCAGCATCTCAGCATAGCCCATGCACATCGCCGTCGATTCCGGCCACCTCACCCTTCCAAGTGCGAGCTTGACACCAAATATTCGTCCCATCCTTGGGCTCTCGACGGCACATGTCTCTGATCAATGACCAATGCGCCCACGCCCCCATCCATCTTTATTTCACAAATAGAATTTCTGCATGGACTGCCGGGTGTCCGACCACGATGATTTATGGTGACGACTGGGGTTGGTGCCGTTGAAGTTTTCACCGGCCGGGAAATGAAGCGGCAGGAGCCCGTGCCGGCATCTGCCATATGCATCAGGCTATTCAATCAATGCGGAGTGGCGCTTTCGACGAGCCAGCGACCGCAGTGCAGTGCTTAGCTGAGCAGCTGCGGCCAACTAGAGGCCGGCACACCGATCCCGGTAGGCAGATATGCTGCATGGGCGCGCAGGCCGCGTTTAGAGGCACTATCTCCAGCGGCGGCTGGCGCCGTCATTGCCGCCATATGGCCAAACGCAGGCGTAACGGCCGATCGGCTCGATCGTCAGGAGCACTCCACCCGCCCAGCTGCCGGACTATGAGCCTTGCGTCTCACTACTTCTTCTTCTTCTTGGTCTTGCCGTATGACGAGGAGCTGGAGCTGGAGGCAACAGACTTCCTGGAGCCCAGGGCAGAGCTGGGGCCGGAGGAGGGGGTGGGGGAGCCGTCGGGTGTGTTGCTGGAGCCTGAGAAGCCGATGTTAACCACACTGAGCTGACTGCTCTGCTGGCTGGCCGCCCGGCTGCCCGACACCACGCTCCGTATATCCCGCTTGCTGGTCGACGCGCTGGTGTGGCTGGAAGGCTTGTCGGTCGGCGGGCCACTGCGCATGCTCATCCGCGAACCGGACCGACTGCCGGCCTGGCTGGCCACTGCACTGACCTCGCTGCCGCTACCCTGGCTGCTCAGGCTAGACTGGCTGGGGAACTTGAGCAGCGAGCGCTGCGAAGCCGGCGTTCCACCACTAGAGTCTGAACAGAAGGACTCCATGGACAGGCAGCTCTGCAAGTCGTCCCGCGAGCAGGAGCGCTGCGATGACTGCGCCGAGGAGGCGCGACTCTGCGGCAGACTGCAGCCGCTCTCCTCCAGCGACGTCACTATTAGGTGCTTGGTGTCCGGCTCCAGTTCGGTTAGGTCACAAAGGCTGCGGACGGCAAGCCTGACCTCCTCCCGCCGCACCCTCAACTCGATATCCTGCTCCTCCCGGGTCGCCTGAATATGGCCAGTCTTCTTACGCAGCTGCTTTATGACGTGGTTGTTGAACCTGGAGGCCCGATCTAGCTTGGCTTCCTGCTCCTTCAGCTCTTTCTTTCTGAGAGCCATTTGCCGCTCAAGCTCCTCTTTCTGTCGGTCCAGTGCCTCTTTCTGTTCGGTGAGTTCATCCAGCTCGGTCTGCATTGCCTGGACCTTCTCCTGGAGGCCTAGCAGCTGCAGGCGACGTTCCTTAACCTGCGACTCGGTCTGCTGAAGAAGCTGCTGCATATAGGCGGCACTCTCTTGCTCTTCTTGAGTTTCCAGGGGACTCGACAGGTTTCTACGATAGCTCTCGTTATTCAGCTTCAACACTTGACAGGTATTCTCCAGCGCCACGAGCTCGGCCTCCGTCCGCTTTATTTTTGCGTCCAGCTCGTCTCCCTCACGCTGAACCTGGAAAAAGTGGCATAGGCCATTTCTATGATCCAGTTATGAACGAGAAGAGAAAATAGCTCAGCCAGATGGGCAAGGGTGCCTTTTATGAACAGCACATGACAACCAGTTTCATTCGTATCGCCCAAAAACATGAGAATTGGAATGTGAACTTAACACTCTCAGTTCTCGTTGCAAAGAGCTGTGATGAAACGCAACAAGCTTAATGGAGGTGATCCACATTTGAAGATAATGAAGCAACCATCACATATGGTGAAATAAATTCACTTATAGCTACTGGAATGCTTTTAAGTGAAAAGCCTGCTGTAGACAGCACAATTTCTCTCTGTAGTAAATATACTCCTCAATACCTCATTGTTTGATTCCATCATTGTACACTGCAAAACAATGATTGAGAACCAATTGACGCTCGTTATATCTGGAAATCGTGCTCCTGAAACCCAAATATGAACGATTAAACAATTTTACTTTTCTTGGCCCCGATCACCTCACGTCCAATGAAATGGTAGGATATGAATGACGTCATTATGACGTCATGTATACCTGGGCTACCTCGAAATAGTCGGCACGAAACAGTCCGCACATCCTCGCGGGCGTGTAGCTAAAAATTTAGACGGGTTTGGGTTTTAAGAAGGGCAGGACTGTTTATTGCACCGTACGATCTTCAAGATGGTTACTTCAGTTCAAAACCCCATGCAAATGTGGAGCACTCCCATGAAACGCTATGAATGCGTTTCTTAGATGATATCTAATGCCGTTGTATATTTGTAACAAGCGTGCTGAGTATCTGAGAAGGCTTGACTTATGTTGTGCACTGAATTGTTGCACTCGATACATGAATGCATGGTGAAGTGCTCAAAGTATGCTTGAAAGCGCAAAACTCAGTAAATATCGCGACTATGCTTTCAGTAATTAAGCAGGCAACCTAGATCAGCAGGACAGTTCATGCTCATCAAAAACTGAAGATCAACGGTCAGTGTAATGGGAACCATAACTGCCGAACCACGTACCTCTTCTTTTTCCTGTGCAGCCTTGATTACGTATAATATATGAGAATCAGAGGCATCCGTTCCTTCTTCCACGGGTCCCATGGAGCAAAGAAGAACCTCGTACCTCTTCTTCATCTTGTCCAGCTTCGACGCTCTGTCAGTCAGGTCACGACCCAGTTTGTGAATCTCCTCGTCCAAGGCGCGCAGCTCAGCCTTTAGCAGGTCCTTCTGAGCCAATATCTCCTGCCGACGCTCCTTCATGGCGGTATCCATATCAAGTCGTTGCTGGTCCAGTGAGAACACCTGCTCGACCTGCGCGTGCAGGGAACGGCGCAACTGCTTAATGGTCAGCCGCAGCATGTTGTCGTCTACCATGGCTGTCTGCTTCCTGTCTACCACGCGCTTCAATTCTTTCAGCGAGCACTCATTATGCAACTTCAGCTCCGACTCCTTGGAGTCAAACTGGTCGGTGAGGGTCCTGTTGTTCTGCAAGTCTCGCTGTACTTCACGTTGGGCTTCCTGAGTGCGCTTCACCTGTTCGTCGAGGAACTTCTTTGCTTGATTTCTTTTTTCGAGATCCTCCTTCAGCTCTTTGATGCGGTCTTCTAGACGAATCCTTTCCGTGTCCCGCCTTGTTCCTGACATGCGCTCTATTCGTTTTTGCAAATGCTGCGCTAAAAGTTCCTGGCCGTATATTATTTCCTGCTGCTTCATTACCTCTGCGTCCATCTTTCGTATTTTAGACATCATATTGCGTCTAGCGGCAAGGCACCCTTGTATTTCTGCATTTTTAGCTGTCTCGTCGGCCTGGTATTTTATCAGGTCATTACTTTTCCTAAACTGAAGATCTTTAAGACGCATTAGCTCCTTGTCCATTAGTTTTTGCTTGTTTTCTTCTTCTTCCAAAAGTCGGGCTAGCCTTTGAGCTCTTTCTTCCGCGCTCATTGCCATTTCACGCGCCTCATGCAAAGCCTTGTCAACATTGTCCTTCTCCATTTTTAGTTTAATATAAGCACGGTTCTTGTCACCAAACTGATTTTTCAGCTGATGTACAGTGACACGTGCTCGCTCCAGCATCATGGACACTCTGCTTACGTTTGTCTTTAGTGCCTCGAGTTCTCGATTGAACTCTGCCTGCTCTTGCTCTGTTCGCTGGTACTGTTCCCTAATTTTGCCACAGTCACGCTCTAACTGTGATGTCTGAAGCTCTAGCTCGTGGTTGTTGTTATCCTCTGCGTTAAGGAAGCGTTTCTGCTCTTCTAGCGCCACCTGTCTCTTGTTCATGGTGGCCTGAAGGTGTTCGAGCTGCTCAGTAACCTTATCAATGTCCCGCTCTCTCTTTTGGATCTGTTGGAGCGTCTGCTCCCACTGGTTCAGCAGGGTCTGTCGTTCGGCGTGGGAGCGTCGGTAATCTTCGCCGAGCTTATCTAGTTCCACCTTCACAGACATCAGGTCCGTGGTGGCGTGTTTAAGTTTTTTGGAACTGTTGCGCTCTTCGTCATTCAGTCGCTCTAGCTTCAGGTTCAGGTCCTTGATCATGCCTTCGTCGAGTCTAGCATAATGTTCCAATGCCATTATATCGTCATCTCTTTCGGACATTTGCCTTAGCCAAGCCTCGAGAGCCTCCCTATCAAAAGTCATTTCCTTTTTCAGCGAATCGACAGACTCTTGCAACTTGACCACATCGCCCTCAAGGATGATGCGCCTTTTTTTAGCGTCATGCATTAGATTTGTCATACTTTTGATATCCTGTTTCAGTCGACCAGATTCCCTTTCAGCGAGGCTTCGTAGATGGTTTTCAGACTCGATCTCTTTCGTCCGAGCATCCATGAGACTTTGGTTCTGGTTAAACTCATCAAGCACGTTCTGCAGATGAGTTTCTATGAACGAAGACTTGCTATTCTGATCTGCGATGTCCGCTTTCATTGCGATCACGGTCTGCTGCTTTTTCATAAATTCCTCTTCAAGTTTCTTGCATTCCTCGTTGGCGATTGGAATTCTAAAGCTGGAATCCCAGCCGATCTCCTCCAAAATCTCTTGAATATTTTCCATGCCTTTAATGTAAGGTCTTACCACGCAGATCTCATATCTGAGGACAAGACGGTAGGTGAGTGAGAGTGCTGCAGCTTGCTCTGTTAGTATTATCAGTACCAGGGCTTGAAACGCTCCCCTGCATAACCATACAAACGATCAGTTGTATGGTAAGTATTGCACCGAGAAGTAATTCAACAGCAGATGCACTTTTCCCACACATCTAGAAACACTTTATGCCTTTCACGGCGCCTCCGTTCGCATATAGCCAAGAACAATGGGCGTCGTTCATGGCTAAAACACAGGTGTCATGCTCACGTTGTTGACGTGAGACGCTGTTTAAGCAAGGACATTCTTACCAACTTATACCAGGATGAATCGGGCAGTTCGAGCATATGACGTGACATAACGCCACGGTGTAACTGTTTCTCTTTCTACGATGGCTAAGAACCCGCCCCAGCATTACCTGACTTTGGCTGAAGCAGTCGTCAGTATCTTAAGCTTTATAATATGTTCTTACGGAAGCTTATGTAGTCTACTTGAACCGCACCCGTGATAAGGCTGGTGGCTGCATTGTATTCATCCTTCAACTTTTGCGCTTTCCTATCCAATTCACAGACCATGACGCGATTACGTTTTCTTTACCTGCATCTGATGTTGCTCATGTTAACGTGCCGGAACTTATCCCTTAATCGTGTCTTGCTGCACTTGTGCCACAGAAAAGAAGTCAGCTGGACCAGGGAGTCCAGGTAAGGTCACCTCGAATCGCACCCATGACTGTAAAACCTTTGGTATGGTACCGACAGCATACTCCTCCTTCGCCCTTTCGCCGTTGTTTTCTCGAGGGCGAACATGAGTGGCATCATAGATATGCCGAGAGCGCACAAGCATTATGCTGAACGAATTGGGTAGGAAAAACGCAAGGGTAAAACGGTGAATACAGTGCAGCCGTAAGCTTTATCACGAGTTCTGTTGTGTGAGGCCAGCCACGGAGGTTATGGGTGATAGAGTCATAAAGTTGTTCCATAGTTAAAATCTCCACCGCGGCCACGAGCATTTAAAATTGCACAGCGAACTGTACAGATGGATATAAGATTCCCTTCGTTTAGATTATAGATGTCTACGGTTATAAACGGCATGTCCAGATTATTGCACAGCTGAGTATGCCCTGTAAAAGTGAAAGGAACGACAGTATTTGTTACGGGGCAACTAGCATCAGCCGAAAGATGATGCTCTCATCTGCTCAACTATGCAATTTCACTCACCTTTCTCTGAAATGGCTGATGTTTCCGCACTACCAGACTGATGTGACGCCGCCTGCGCTCAATATGAACGAACAGCTGTTGCGACGCTTTGTGCTGTTGCCATGGTGACGGTCGCGGCGTCCGTTTTCCCGTGAATGTGCACCTGGCGCTTCGGGTGAAGCGAGTCTCGCCCTGAAATAAGCCCACCTGATCCACGGTTGACTGATCGCTCCAGCAGAACTAGATACGGCGGGCACTAGGCAGGCATGTGCCTGGCCTGGAGCAAAGGATAGCATTGCTGGCGATGTGTTTAGGGGTCAATCCGGGGAGTCGGGGTGAAATGTCGACACGCGAGATATGGACATAAAAAATATCGGCCGTGAAACATGGACTCGCGAAATGTGGACACGCAAAATATTGACGCCCGAAATACCGGCTCTGTAAAATATCGACACATCAAATGTCGTCCGTGCACGACATCTGCAACAAAACGTCGACACCGCACACCTTTGATTCCAGTTGTTTGGGGCACGGACGTCGACATGTCTTAGCAAAACAAAACAAAAAAAGAGGATAGATATGGTCAATAAAGTATTGCGATATCCGACCACGTATGATAAACGCCTTTTCGGCATGCTGATCACAACAGACTGACAAACATTGAGCTCCCTAGATTGTGCAGATATAATTAATATTAGTCAAAGCCGTGCGAACGTCGATCGCGGCTGTGCAATACGCGGCGAGTGTCGTCAAAGTGTTTTCCCGCTGACTCGGGTAAAAACGAAGCAAGGCGATCTGGCGTAACTGCTACGCTACAGTAGGAGTTAGCAAATGTCACAGCTGTTTTCGCTTGGTGTGGTACCTGATAAAAAAAAACAGCACTACAAACATGCGAACCAATGGCCAGCGCCCACCTGTCTTCCACTGAACCAGGTCCCTGGGCGGAATATTAGGTCTCCATGCGCGCCTTACTGAATTTCCACGCACGTCATGCCGGACCTCTGTGTGCGCTGTTCCCAGTCTCTCCGTGCGGCGTACCGTGCCTCAGTAAGAGGCATAGTATGTCTATGAGAGTTGGATACTAAGCCTTCGTTATTCTTCGTTAGGTATTGGTTGATTCACTTAGTTGTGTGCGATGATTTGCTTATGCGATCAGTGCTTAGGACAGGCACACCATGTGAACATATATCAAATGACATAGAAATTGTATTGAGGTGCAAATAAGTATGCACTGGACTACACATTGATGTTTTGGATATGAATGATGCTGGATCGCATAAATCGATATTCCAGACATTATGAGAGGTCCATATGTTATTTCAGACGACTGCTTTGTCGTAAGAGTCATGGACTTAATGTTAAAGTCTTCGAACGTTGTAGTGAAGTGGCTAAGCTACGCATCTAGTAAACCAGAGGTGCGAGGTACCATTCCCTGAGGTACCAGTTCCTCCTATCAGGGTGAGTGGCAGGCGACACCACTGAGCCTCAGCAGCTGAGTGCGTCGCAAAGCCCTGAGGACGATGGGTGGTGCGGGCCCTCCCAACCACCCGGCAACGCCAGTCGCACTGATCGCTGGCTTAGGGGCTTAGAGGATTGTTGGACGGCTGGATATATTTTTCGCTTATCATTGGAAATCAATGCCTAAAGGGAGTATTTCACATTTATATAGGGGTTTGGATTCTAATAGCCATCTTGGAGATCATTCGGTGCAGTTCACAACCCTGCCCTTTTTAAGACCTAAACCCCTCCAGATATTTAGCTACATGCCCGTGAAGATGTGCAGACTGTTTTTAGGTCACTCAAGCATCCATGACACCATAACAACGCTATTCAACTCTTGCTATTCCACTGACCATGCGGCGATCAAGGCAAGAAAAATATACTCGTTAAGTCGTTCATATCTGACATTCACAAGCACGACTTCCAGATGCAACGGGTGTCAAATGGCCCGCAATTAATTTTGTGCAAGACACGATGACGCAAGCGTGCAATGACGTATTGAGAGGCATATGCACTTAAAAAGCTTTTATGCTGTATAGAGCTATTGTGTTGCATTTTTGTGCAATTAGGGCTATATATATATATATATATATATATATATATATATATAATCACTATATTAGAGATATTATGTTGCAAAGAGCTATTATTTTTCATTTTTGCCACTTAAAAGCGTACCAATGGTTATAAGTGAGCGTATTCCATCATATATGATGCTTCAATATCTTCAAATGTGGAATATTTCCTTTTACACCCGCTCGGGTGGGAATCAAATTGACCCCCTAAAGTATTTCCAGAATGATTTCCAAACGCCGCAGCGCAGCCGCGCCAAATTTTTCATAGCTGCAGACCTGTAGACAGTTACATAGTGAATCGTCTGACATAAAAATATGAATGTTTTTCGTAAGGTCACTGACCTTTGGCAGGTCAAAGCCAGGCCATAGTTTCAGCGAAGGCAATTTCTAGGGAATCGTCCAATCTGATCCAATAACGGAGCATAAGACGAAGCCATACATGTCTGAGATGCCTTCTTAGACAACACAGCGATTGAATTAAAATGTTGCATTGACCTAGGGTCAGGCATGAAGGCCAGACCAAGGTCAAAACCAACATATTTTTTATCTCTACGGCTCGATGTATGGGGTAGTTTCTGGTGCTCATTTTGAATCTATTGATAACAGGAACCGCATTTTAACCTTCCATGGACCTCTCTAAGGTCAGAATAAGTCATTGACATAAAATAACCCAGGTCAACCTTTTTTAGGAACATTCTGCCTAGCGTAATCCTTGTCGTTTATTCAAATGCAAAACTCAAAGAAGCATTGTATGATTTGCGTCACCATGGCCTTCAAAAGTTAACACAAGATTGCGGATTTAAATAAACGTGAGACGTTTTGGTTAGAACAGTTATCTAGGTTCTAGGGTCCTTTTGGAGACCAACCTAGAATTTTACATTGTTTGACCTTATTTGACCGGAAGGTCATAACCTAGGAACCTCAAACTTTGACCGAAGTGAGTTCACGTACAGCTCAATATTCCCTATGAATTTGATGTCTCTAGCTCTCTTAGTTCCTGAGATCTCAGAGGGGTCAAATTGCCCTCTTCCTCATCCGAGCGGAGGGTATCCAACCGGCCACCCGGGCGCGTGCTACCGAATAGTAAATACGGCACAATTTCTGGGGTACCGAATGCAAAAACCTGGCATGCAGGTAATAAAAACCTGTCATTCAGCTCATAGAAACCTGATCACCAATAAAATCCTTCATGGGCTTTTATCGGTTACTAGGCACCGATAGAGACCTAGTAAAGCCCATAGAGGCCTGCATTCTGCCCAGGGGACTGGTGTGACTGATCGTAGGTGGCTACCGTTCCTTGATGCATAAATTAACATGCACACAGTTTGAGACCAACTGTGCCCATCAATGTTGAATTCGGTGTGTTGAACCACTTCCATTTTGTTGTGATCCGTATGCTGAGAGAGGTGCCAAAGATACGCTATTAGACATTACAACATTTTAGTGAACGCATCACCGCCATTTTTTGTTCATATTTGTCGACGTACAGCCTGAAACAAATGAAATCAGTGAGTAAATGATTTAAGAAATGAAAAGAAAGAAATGCATCAATAAATGAGTCATTATAGAGTCAATGTTACGCACACTCATACTCCGTATTCATTCTTTATGTGCCGATGTTTCCTGCGCCGATATTTCCTAGTCGATAGTTTGCCGACTTTTCGCTTTCATTTTTATCACGCACTCCCTTGTCTAGATACGTGTCTGAACAGCTTAATTTCGATCTGGCCATCTTCCTTTTGACGCTTACGTAGTATGCGCAACGCATGGCGTGTGCGCCCAGTGGAACAATAGATCGCGTTCGCCTGTATATTTGATGCACAGATAATATGCACTGATTTTGCGTTGATTCCGTCTGCGACTTTTGAACTGTCGATCAGGTTTTGAAAGGCCTGGACCCATTTTGCGCCAATCGCCTCGAGCATCCGTCACATTGAATCATTGACCTAAGGGCGTAGTGGCTGAGCGGTCAGAAACTTTGGGTACCCATAAAGGAACCCGGGTTCAAATCCAGGTTGCGCCATGGCCCCCGAGCGCTAGCATGTTCTTTGCAAACTCGGCGCTCCATGTGCGACTGTGTGTCGCACGAACGCGTCGGTTCCTTTAAAAAGCCGATGGCTTACGCCCGCTGCGTCGCTCCACGACCCAGATGCGCTCCACTGATGCATCCGACGGGCGCTTACGAATGCCTGCCGTGAATGGATCCAACTTTCGCATGCTAAATGATAGAACATGTAGCAAGTCATGGCCTGTTACGCTCAAAAGCTCAAGACGACTGCAATTGTATTATCATTGCAGGAGCTATTGATCGGTGAGGCGTGAGGACCAGCGCATCACGCTGCCGCGGAGTCTGCTGGTTCGCTGCCAGGGCCAGCTGAGCACAGTGCGCCGCGCGCTCGGTTGAGCCTGCCCCGCTGCTGGGATCGCTCCTGTGTGCCCGTCCTACCTAGCGCCGCGGCAGCGCGTTAGCCCCGGAACGCGGCACGCCTCGCCGCCGCCAAAGCCCTGCTTGATCCGTTCCATTGAGGCAGAGCCCTGGCACTCGGGGTGGGATTTTGTCTGGCGCCGCAGCTAGCCCGCTGCCACTGGTGATGCTCTCATGAGGAGGCGTCCCCTCCCACTGACCGCGGTCCTGCTGTCACAGGCGGCAGTCTCGGTGTCTGGCGCCGCAGCTAGCCCGCTGCCACCTGGTGATGCTCGCAATGAAGGAGGCGTCCCCTCCCACTGACCGCGGTCCTGCTGTCACAGGCGGCAGTCTCGGTGTCTGGCGCCGCAGCTAGCCCGCTGCCACTGGTGATGCTCTCATGAGGAGGCGTCCCCTCCCACTGACCGCAGTCCTGCTGTCACAGGCGGCAGTCTCGGCTGCTGGCGCTAACCCGACTGCAGTCCGGCTGTCACAGGCTGCAGTCTCGGCTGCTGGCGCTAACCCGACTGCAGTCCGGCTGTCACGGGCTGCAGTCTCGGCTGCTGGCGCTAACCCGACTGCAGTCCGGCTGTCA